CTGCAAAGAAAATGGCACATTTTGAAATATGGTGCGCCAAGTCTTGGCAGTTTGCAGTTCTGATACTTTTTTTTTGCAGTTCTGATACTCTCTTGAAAAGTTCTAGAGCTCTTTGCAACAATTTTCAATAGTTCCGGTCATTAAATACAAAAAAAAAGACTTTCAAAAAAAGGTGCGCTAAGTTCTCGCAGCGCACCTAATCAAAAAAACTATTTAAATTAACTATTTCTTTAGAGTTCCGGTTTGTTTTACAATAGTTCTAGAGTTCTATATCATATACAGCAATCCCAGATTCGTCTCTGCAACGTCCGTAGAAATGTAGAACGGATTGAAGTGAACATAAAAGTCCCATACCGTTTTGAGATATTCGCAATAAATCTCGAGATATTAATTAGACATCTACATTCCCACGATGTTGCAGAGACGAGTCTGGGACACTCTGATATATATATGTGTGTATATACATCTCTCTCCCTTTCTCCCTTCTTAAAGCACAATGTGTCGACAATAGTCATGTTACATTAGATAATCGCGTCTCACTTTCTCAACGAGCGTCCTCGGATGAAATGCATGAGATTAGCTCGCAACATCCATATATGACTAATAAGTCACGCGCAATTCACGGTGTAGCCATACACTCGCATTATTTAAATAATACACGCCACAGACATGCATAAGATTGCAGGATAAAGCATGACTCTTTATAACAAGAATGCAAAAATTTGCTAAAATTTATAATATAGTGTGAATAAACGCACCGATGTCTGGACACACTGGTGGAACATTTCTCACAATCTCTAAAAAGTTTAGTTAGAATTTTCACGACAGAACTATGTCGAGCATACTTGTGTTTATCTGTCGAATCCTCATCATCAACATGCCATCATTTCCCTTCAATCATTTCGCTCATCAGTGAGCCACATTTCGCTCTCGCCACTTTTGTCGCCTCTCCCGGTTCGCTTTCGACGTCATTTCTCGCGTGACGGAATAACGAGCGCCGTTTCATTAGTCACTGCGTCCTTCTGTTCATTAGCTCGAGCCTCAAAGGAACATCGTCGTCGATGCGCTTGTCATTCTGGCGGAGGACGCGCGTCACTCTCGTTAAAAAGCCGAGCGAAAAGACACAAGGAGAAAACGCACGCGTCAGCCGCGGCGGAAATCGGTCCTTGGCGCGCAAGGATCCAGGAGATCCGAGCGATCGATGTGAGAGGCGACCGCGGTGCGCCAAGGTTAAGGTGCCGTGATCCGGCCGATATCCTTCGCCGTGCGCGCTGATAAAATCCTAGCTGGACGAATAAAATGCACGCTCGATCGAAAGGGAACACCGGTCGGCGATTGGCTAACGTTAACACGCACGACACAACATGCCACGTGTATATAATTCGATCTTTGCCATTGTAGGCTAGTCACCTGCTAAGTTTCTAAGTGCCGTGCGAGTTGCTGTGCCCGCGAACGGCGACATGCTGCTCACCAAGGTACGTGAAAGGGTCCCCGTGATCGGCAACGGATTGCCGTAATTTCGAGAGTAGTCCTCGAGGCGAGGAAAACAGTTTTGTGCGACGAATTTTTCAAGATGTTCTCGGGACTGCACGGTTGAGGATGGCGGAGATCTCTTAGCGGGAACAGCTTGGCACGCGTTCAAATATGATTTCGAACGCGTATCGGATTGAATGCGTCATTGCACACTCAGAAAAATGGTTCTGCTGGTTCAGGTAGAATTCTAAATGTCACGGCTATAAGTTATCGTCGTTTTTGTCTAGCTAGAATCTTGTCTGTGGAATTTACAGCAGCTGCATTATAGCACAACTGCAAGTAAATCGACATCGTTCTCAACTTTATAAAGATAATTATTGTCAACAATTATTCGAGTTTCATATTTGTATTTTTATATAATTAAATGACATTTATGATAATGTCTGAGTTTCCAAACATAATTGGCTTGTCTTCATATATTATAAATTGTACGTAAGATAAAAGAAAAGGCTAAAATCAATCGCGGATTTGAGCAGGAGAATTTTTGCGTGATTATACTCGGGGTTATCGGGTTACCGTTAGATTAAAATATTCGCGTATTTACGTCTATCATTATACAAAGAAAGAGAAAGTCATGAAAATTCTTGATGCAGAAAGAAAGTTTATGAAGATATTAAGTCGATGTAAAAGGTTCATCCTGAAGAGGAAAACATCTGGATAACGGATTTGAGAATTTCATGATTTGAAAACTTGAAGATATCCTCGTGATTACGTAGTTGAGAATGCTAGTTGATACGCTTTGTTGATGCTTTAGTTTTTAAGCTTACTTTCGAAATTAATGTCGTAATCTCGGCAGGTATTACGAAACTGTATATATATATAATTTCTCTTTTTCGTAACTTCTAAATACTAAAAATGAGATCAGAAAATAAAAATATTCTGCTTTTTTTAGATATCTTTAGAATCTTCAAGGAGTATATTAGACATTTGTGCTATTTTAATAGAGAAATAATTATATAGAAATATATTTTTGTTTGATAAACAGTAAAATAGAATATTCCCTTCCATGCGCCATTGAAAATATGTTACTTAGTCACACAACTATTTTAACATATGCGAAAAGAGATTGAAATGTGTTGATAGAGTGGAACGCTTTGACGCAAATCGATTTGAGTGCGTCATAGTATCATTTGGTGCTGCGATCAAGGACGAATTACAATGATTTCTGGGGTGGTCCTGGCAACAGATACTAGATAGCTGAGGATTTAAAGAAGTTGTCATAGTCTAAGATGGTAACTGAGGCCTTTTCAATGTTTGCGTGGACAGAGACTAACACACGTTCCAGTGTAGAGGAGCGTTTTGAAGACTTATTTGATCGGATATACGTCATTATATTGTTCCCCGTACAGCACAAATGCCCAAATACATTCTGTCTATCTCTCTAGGTTCTTTTGGATTGCGATCATTCCTTTGTATTAATCTATTCTACAAAGATGCGGAAATAGATTTATAACTTTTTATAGATTTTTATCAACACTTTTACGTAATTTAGATAAACGAGAACGAAAACGCCGCCCCTTCCCCAGATGTGCCAGATTAAAATGTCCAAGATATGTACGTGTCATGTGAGAGTTAATTATATTATATTTTATACTGTCGCGCGCGCGTACATCAAGTAAAATAAAACCAATTAGAGAAAGATCAGTTAAGCTTGATACCTCCTTTGTATGGAGCGTCTCCGCGCGATTTTAAAACGAACTACGGTAATTTCGGGGACCGATTCTGGCAACGCAGGAACATCAGTGTGACGGATCTGAGAATGTCCTCGGGCTTGCGCGGTTGACCACGATTGACACTTGTTATAATACCCGCAAGGACTGATTGACGCACGTTCTCGAGTATGGAGGAGTGGCGCGGGTTCGTTGTCGTGCCGTTCATTACGTAAAGGCGTAACTCCGAGCGCTTGTTATTTAATCGGACGCTCGTTGCATCGGGATGTTGCAATAATTATTGATTGATCAGCTTCTCAGCGATTCTGCACGGTGTGGAAAGATCGAACGTCGAGGACTGGGGCAGTGCGCGAAAAATTGCGAGTTAAGGCGCGACCGACGCGGCCCGCGGAAAAACTCGCAGATGTTTCACGGTATGCTAATGTACGACACACTTTCTATCCGCAAGAGAGCGAGAGAGCGTTTTTGTCGGGATTGCCTAAAATCGCCCTAATGCAGGTGATGTCGAGGTCGCGACGCCTACGCGACGCGACGCAAATCTCGCCTCGCGCAGCCGATACCGTCGCGAGCCGCTCGATAGCGATGACACAATCGTGACACAACCGCGTGTTTAATTCTGTGAAACGCTACACGCACAGTATATTCTTAGCCACGCTGCTCGACTACATTGTCGAGCGGCCACGCGAAAATATGCACATACCGCGAATTGTTAAGTGATTCGCTGTGCAAGGACCTGAAACGGATCGTCGGTTTGAGGTCGCTCTTCGCAAAAATAAGATCGAACACCTAACTGATTCATTTGATAAAGGAAGTATCAAGCTTTTATTTTATTTGATATACGCGCGCGCGATAGTATGAAATATAATTAACCCTCACATGATACATACATCTCTTGGACACTTTAATCTAGCACACTTGAAAGTGGGAGAGAGCGTTTACGTTTTTTACTTATTTAAATTCCATAAAAATATTGAAAAAAATTTATTAAAAAATTATAAATCTGTTTCCACGTCTTTGTAGAATAGAATTACACAAATTACAAAAATTAATAGAATTATGCAAAAAAAATCATTTTTTGTCAAAAGAAAAAAGAAATTATTATAATGCGAATTCTATTGTAACAGCGTGCCAGATCGAGATTAAATCAATTATAAGTTTGGGGGGAGGGGAAATTAAAAATTTCTGATGTCAAATATATTATTAAACTCCTGGTATCAAAAATATTAATTCCAGGATATTCTTTTACACTAATTATTAATTAATTCTGTTCAATAAAAAAGTATTAAATTCAATTAACTTAATTAATTAATTTAAGTATTAAATTTAATTACTCTCTCACGTATTAAATACAATTAAATCAATTACATGTTAATTAATACGTGATACGGAAGTATCAAACATAATTAATCAGTAAGTAGAGTAACGTAAATTTTTTATAACAATACATTTGATACCAGAAGTTTACATTATACTAATTGTTGTGCGCGAGTTAATAATAAAAATTGTCGTGTAGTCGACATATTATGTCAGCTTTTGCTAATAGAGAGAAAAGAGGAAAAGAGATCGTGAGAAAATTATATAAAATACTTTAAATTAATAGTTATATATTTTTCCTGGTATATTTACGTGGTAAGACACTACCCGTGCGCGCATTGAAATCACTAGATGGTCTAATAATGTGTAATTTTCCGTAGATCACCCTGTTATTTGGACTCGCGACGTTGTTAAAATTATCAGCAGCCGCACCGGACAGCGCAGGGATCGTAGAAATGGTGAATGGATTGGCGTATGGTAAGTCAGGCTTCTGCTTCCTGACTTTCTAGTAGAAAATTTAAGAGACGCGCGCGCGAACAAACGTTGACCAGTTTCCCTGCGCATGATTCTGCTTCGTTATAATTATTATGTATACATTTATGAGAAAAAACGATCATCTTATCCTAAATATATAAATATTATAGACACTTTAATCGATTATAACACGCACAACAGACAAATAATTCTCTTCAGACGAATTGTTTGTCTCGGAAACGCGCGACTCGCGTTTGATATTATTAAATATTGTCATTATGTGTTATTAAATGTTATGTTATGTTATTAAATGTTATGTGTTAGTAAATGTTTTATGTTATTAAATGTGTTAAACATTTGCATTATGTGTTATTAAATATTTGCGTTATGTGTTATTAAATATTTTCACGTGTGAGGAACAGATTAATCGATGAGTAAATCGAACAGAGTATTCTGAGTCCCCTTACTTTCGAGCTCGATTAGGATCGAGCTCCAACAGAAAGCAGCACCGGTGATCGTTCGTGTCTAATCCGCCTTGCCTTTCACCTGAAAGAAGAACAGTCAGCATGCTAGATATGAGCGGCCAAGCGTCAGATAATTTGCGAAGAAATTTAGTATATTTATTCATTTGATTGTTCTCGTGAATCAACATGATTCGAGAGATATTTTTACACTATTGTGCAAAGCTATAGCTAGTTTTTTTAAATTATTCTTTGTATCGTGCAGGAAACTTTCCGTGCGATTACTTATTCCAGTCGCATTTCAAGTTTAAATAATCAATTAAATCATTTTCCAGACGCAGATCAAAGAAATCGCTTTACATATTGCCAGGATTCTTCTAAATTACGATATCTTTACGACAAATGTCTTATCGCGGACAATAAAGGTGCATGAGAAAGATTTATCATTTCAACGACTCGTTCCGAGTTGTTCGCGAATAGTCTGTGACGAACGGCCCAACAGTTTCTCGAATCCCATGAATATCGAATTAATTTATGACGATGTTAATTCTCAGACACAATTCGCGGAAATATCTTATTAGCAAACACCGCGTCAAATTAACCATCAGATATTTTTTATCTATGCACGAAATCTATTTTTAACAACTCGAAAAAAATACCTATATATAATTATAGAGATTACATATATATATAATTATAAATATTAAAAAATTATATATAATTATATATAACCACCATATCGCGCGCGCGCGTTAAATTACATGTACGTCGTCGTTTTCTCTCAGGAATTCATTAAACTAACTTATTAACTTATTAATTTATTAAACCAATGTATTGTATTGAATATGTTTATATATATTCAATAACATATTCAATGCATTAGTTTAATAAATTGATTTAATAAGTTAGTCTAATGAACTCCTGAAAAAAAACGATCATATATATATAATATATATATATATATATATATATATATATATATATATATATATATATATTATATTATAATATATATATATATATATATATATACACTATAAAAACTGATGTGTTAAATTTAACACATTTCATGTATCCGAAATCATCCACTCTCATTTATGTGTAAATTTAACACAAAACAAATGTGTTAAAAAGTAACACGCATAATATGGAAAAAATTAACACAAGAATTTAACACTTGAATACCATTAGAAATCACAGACTGTATTAAATTGACATATTTAATATGTCAGACATAGATTATGTCAATTTAATATTTCCATTTGATCAAAACCGTAGATTAATACTTCTCTCGAATGTTAAAGTAACATTTTATTTTAGTTAATTTAACATTACGCATATGTCAATTTAACACAAATTGTGATTCCTGACGGTATTCAAGTGTTAAATTCTTGTGTTAATTTTTTTACATATTATGCGTGTTCCTTTTTACCACATTTGTTTTTTGTTAAATTTACACATAAATGAGAGTGGATGATTTGGGACACATGAAATGTTAATTTAACACATCATTTTTTACAGTGTATATATATATAATCAATTCCTTAATGCGCGCAACCTCGCCCCTTATCAAGATCGTAAATAGACTCAATTGACGGAATCGCGTTTTCGAAACACACGTGGAGTGGAAGGAAAGCGAAACGTATCGGGACTGTCGACACGGCGGACGGAGGAGTGGTGTGTTGCGCGAGACGCTTCGATGTTTCCTCCTTCGCTTATCATCTTCGTAATTTCGCGTAATGACCTCGTTAATGTTGATTGCGTCACTCGACAGGTGGGATCCCGTACGGAAGTGTGAGCGGCATGCTGGCCAAGTACCCGGGTTACGGCCAGGACTACGGTCCTCATCAGGCCAGACAGTTGGGCACCTTCGGCGAGCGCCTGGTGATCGTCACGCCGAATCTGCGCGCGAGCCGACCTCTGAGCATCGCGCCTCGACCTGTGCAGATTTACAATCTGCCCGCAGTCGTTGCCCCCGGCGTCGTCGGCACGATCAGCCAGATCGGCTATTAGCCCGCTGGATGGACCTCTGCGCCGGAAGGCAACGTGTCTCGTCGTAGTCATCGAACGCTGTGGTCATCCGACAGAGGTATCCTGCGTCCCCTCTCGCCATTCGCGAAGAAGAGGACAAGAACACCTGCATCCCGCGCAATCCAGCCGGCGACAATCGCGAGAAGTATCGCTGGATGAAGTTCTTATATATTCCCGCCGCTACGTCGAGTCGCGCGTGAGCGAGCACCAGGCTGAGGTGCGCGACAGCTCCTTCGCGTAAATTACCTGTAATTGCCAACGATAACGCTCGTTACTTGGGAATTATTCTCTCTCTTTCTTGAGTTTCAGTCGAGGTATCTTCGAGGCGACGCTACGCGCGCGCTCCGACGTCGTCCTGTATTTATGTGCCACTCATTCATTCATTGCCATATTTTTCTAGTACACTGTAAGGCTCGCGGCTTTGTAAAGGTAGATGAATATACACATATACCTAACGAAACGTCGTTGCGTTTTATTAATGCCACTCGTCGATGCGATCATTTGTAAGTTTTACACGCGGAAATTGCGCGTCGATACCTACCACGAGTGTCTCAGATATTGTTTTGATATTCGAGACTGGCGTGACGCGCAACAAGGTTTGTTTTGAATTATAGAATTAAAGCTTTACAGATACGTCATCAAGGAGAAATTCTGAAGCATTAAGAAAATTTATAAAAAATATCAAATATTTATTCAGTTGGGTTACTAACAACATTTGCTTAAATCTAAATTCTTTTATTTGAATAACAAAAACAATTGTTTTCGTGAAAAGTTATGCTTTTGAGAAAATAAATTCTTCATTTAAAAAAATTTTTTCTCAGTATAAAAGTATATGTATTCGTATGTATATAAGTAAATACAAAATTAGTACCCACCAAATAAATATTTCTTTTATTTTTAATTATTTTTTCTCTTGCTGTATGAGAGAGAAGGAAATAGCTACAAGTTAATACCTTACGTTCATCAAAGACCGAAAAATTCTTCAGTATCAATATTTCTGCAAGAGAATGATAATGTCGACAAATATCAAAGGAAAATTTCTGAACCGAGAAAGTTTTTAGTCTTTAACACAAGCAAAGCATTAATTTATGGCCACGTTTCTACTTTCACAGATTTTAAAATTTTATTCTAAGTAAACTTATTTACTTATAAATCTCTTAAAAAGTAATTTATTTCTTGAGTATCAGAAAGTAATTTATATAATCATCAGAAAATAATTTACTTCTTGGAAATCAGAAATCTTGGAAATAAGAGACATGATTTTTATCTAACATTTCCAACGTTTCGTGAACATCTCAGTTCGCTTTATCAGGGAGAGAAGTAATCTAATATTGTATCAGTTACAGTATCACGTTGCCCCTCTCCTTATTCACGGCTCACAATAAGCTTTTAGACGTAATAAACTTTTAGACGTTTGCTCTAAGCCTAAAACTGTGACGTAACTTTCGACTGAAAGCGTTTCCCATTGCTGCCTAAAGTCGTAATCCCTAAGCTTTAAGTGAGCTAGCCAGATTCCAGCTATTGAAACAGCGTGGGAAACGTTCCTTACCAGAAATTATAGACTTCAGAACAAGAGACTGAAGACTCACTATACCTGTGTGTTATGGGCCAGAACTTAATGAAACAAACTGAAGTGTTCACGAAATGCTGAATACAATTTGACGAAAAACACGTATCGTGCCCCATTGATAAACTTGTTGGCGAGGATCGCGCGGATCCTGCGATCTACCCTTCCGACACACACCCTGGACGCGGCGCAACGAGGGTAAAGCCGCGTTTAAGGAGAGAAAGTATAAATGACAACGGACACGATGTCTGCCCCTTAGTCGTCACGAGCCACACGCACGATGCATTACGCGTTGCACGTGAGTATCCTCGTTTGTAAAAGCCATCCATCCGTTCATCGTGCACAGGGAAGAACGAAGAGAGCCGCGATTTCGCAACGCACGTCGCTCGTCTCGCGATAGCGCAATTAATCAGAATTAAGGAAAAATCCGTCGCGTGCCGCGGAGATCAGTGCGGAGTGTCGAATTGCGAATTATCCAGCGAGAACGCGCGGATTCAGTAAAGCCTCGGGATTTCTATCTCTTCTTCTCTCTTTCCCTCTTTCTCCCTGCCTCCATCCCTCAGTCGGTGGCAAGTCAATCAGCGTGATTTAATGTAATAACCGAGTGAGCCGCTCACGAATTCATTTATCAGGATACACGTCTTGTTTCAGTTTCCGTATTACTTGTCTAATCACTTGCACGCTCTGCAACGAAATCATCCAATTTAACCCGCGGTTGTTTAATGTGTCAAGAGAACGGCGGCTTTCGAAATTCACGCGGCCGAGACTGGGTTCAGTAGGTCGCGCGCTGGTTCCGCGACATAGGAATATATTCCCGTCTCGGCAAAGTTCAAGAAACAGATAAATCAGTCAGCGGCGTAGCAACCTGTCATTAAGGCTTATATTAATAGTCATTACTTAAAACTTGCTTCAGGTAAGACACTTAGATTTTAATTTAGAGTTAGATCTGAGTTTCTCAATTAAATTGCGATTGCAAATGTAATTTCACATGTGTGATATAATTCAAATAAAAAACTCTCATTTAACTCTAAAACTTCAGATTTGAGTATTTCACGTAGAGTGAATTTCAAGTAATGACTATTAATACGAACCTACAGGCCGATTGTTCTAACATCTTAGTTACCTGATAATTAAATCATATGTTTCTCTTCGTTTTATCTTCAAATTAGTCAAAAACAGACACATGATTTAACTGTTAAGTAGCTTATCAAGAGGTTGAAACAATGGACTCTAAGAGCCTCATCATGATCTGTTTCAATTTCACGCGGAGAGCGCGACCGCGTTTTAGTTCAGTTCTGAGTCACGATTACGATGATCCACGCATGACGCAGCGCACGCAACTCAAGCAAACGTATCTGCGTTACAAAATGCGTAATTACAAAACATTTCAATTAATGAATATTCGCACAAATATTCCATTCAATAGATAATTCACAAAAATCCAAAATTGCGCAAAATATTCCAAGAACAAAATGTTAAAAAGTATAAACATTATCCAACAAGAGTGCGATAAAGATAACAATTAGCACAATTGATGGTGTCTAATTAAATCATTCATATTTCACATTCAGTTCATTCATTCATATTTCAAATCAGATGGATAATATTTTGATGATAAGATCGTGCATTTGTTCGCAATAGCTGTGCTGATTATGTCTAATTATCGCACTCTTGTTAACCAACGATTAGTGTTTATACTTTTTAAAGTTTTCGACATTTTATTCTTGGAATATTTTGGGCAATTTTGAATTTTTTGTGAATTATCTATTGAATTAAATATTTGTACTAATATTTTCAGAATTCAATATTTGTGCAGTTATATTTTTCCGATTAATTTCTGCGTGCATTATTTTCTCTTGAAACTGTAACTAATAAAAAAGAAGACATTAAATATTGATCGTACGATTTTTCGGCAAAAGGATAATGATAAATATAAACTTTATGTCGGCAATTGAGTAATCGCCGCGATGTAGGCTCAGTGTGAGTACAACTATTTTTATATTAATGGCACAGTATATGACGGAAGTCGTCCACCATTATAAAGGAATGCTCCCAATTGTTGCCTGATAACTACGTATCTTATAAAACGCTGGATAAGAAATAACAGGCGGTGAAAGATAACGCGTTGCGTTCGTATGAGTCTTACATAAATTGCAGGAGTATCTGCGATTGCAACTTCCGTTATGGAGTTTCCATCTTGCGGAGCGTTGAGCAATTAAAAAACGGCTGATCGATTGAGAAAGAAATGTTTTCATTCGTGATTAAATCGTAGAATGTGAATAACTGATCAATTTTAGAGCCTGTGACGCAAATTATTATTACTTCCCTCAATTACTTTAATTCTTATACGTGATAATATTTTTCCTCACACTCCTAATCCCCTTAAACCCCCTAATAATATATAACAAATAACTTGACCAAGTGTCAACATTCTATATAATACTCAAAATTGTGTTTGCTTTGATTACTGTTAGATTTGATTATTATTTGGTATTTTTTGTTATGAGTTTGTTATATGATTTTGATTTTTATATATTGGTCTTTTATATCAGTTATATCTATTGTGACTTGGTAATAATGGATTATTAGTTATAATTTATTGTAATTTGATAATAATGAATCATGTACTTGGATGATTTTACTGATTTCATATATTTTAATTGAGTTTTTTTTAATAATTTTTTGGATAAAAATGTTTTATTAGGTTGCTTTTTTACACAACTATTTACAGAGATTTTTAATTGAGGTTCTTGGGTTCTTAGGTTTTTTATAAAGAAATTTTGTTAGATACAATTTACTCGTCTTTATGTATTTGGCGTATTTTTTGCCTTTGTTGATCATCATTTGATTATTTGATTATTGATACGCAAGAGGGATTTATTTTGTCCAAAACATTTCCCCTTCGCAGTTTCAAAACAACGCGGCAAATTTTTCGTCGAGCGAAAACGACGCGAATTGAATTTCGCAGCGTCGAAGTAACTCGACCGTGCAAGAGTTAGCTTGATTCGCGCGGCGTTTCCTCGATGTGCGTACGCTGCACTTCGCGAAAATGCAATCGGCGTGACCGCACACAGAACGATTCGATTCTATTATTACAAGAATCATGTTCCACACGACGGGAGACGACAGACACGACTAATAAGTATGTCGAGAAGCGATATTTGCACGCGAGCGCGTATCGTATGTGCGTGCGTGCATGCGTGTCGGCGCTCCTTTTCGCTGAGATTTTACACAATCGGCATACGCGATGCGTTGATCGTCGGTTTTACATGTATACACGTCTCTTACTCGCCTTACGCAATGACAAATAAAACATAATTCTACAGAGGGATCGCCGGTCACGCTACCGGTGCGTTGTCGCGCGTTACGCCGCTCGTAACTTCTTCCCTTTTTCCTTTTTCTTCTCCTTTGCGAAAAACTCCTTCGCAAATAACAAACACCGCGATAATCTCGTATGATTTCGCACTCGACGCGCGCGTAAATGTGGATAGTTGCCACGAAGTGGCTTTCGAATTTTGGGGACGGAGGGAGAGAAAGAGAGAGAGAGAGAGAGAAAGAGAAAAATATGTCACCTTGCCTGTGTGTATGTGTATATATCTACTAAAAATATGCAAATTCTATATTTATAATACTAATATTTATTTATAATTGAATATTTCTTACGAAATAATCACATAGCAATAATTTATTACCGGAACGCATTAAATACGAATGCATATTAACGACAAAATTATTATGATATCGTGAGTGTTTACACGTTATGCTAAATATCGCGCGGAATTAACTCTTTTATCAACTTAATTATATAGTCACGGCAACGCAGTCGGCGTTGATAAAACTTTCAAAAAACTCTAGCAATCCTTATAGAAATATCATACTAAGAATCATTGATAATTACTTATTTTCAGTATTAAAAATACTGGATAATAAGTAATTATCAATGATTCTTAGTATGATATTTCTATAAGAGAAAAGAACGATGAATGTTTCGGATCGTGTCTCGCACGCACATGGAAGTTTTTTTTTTTAAGAACTTCTCAAGTGAAATATTTATCAAGCGTCAAATTCGAAATTGATCTCGTGATTCTGTCGCTTATGTATGTGTTTCCTCGAAACATATACCGCGCTCTATAACTGCAATGTAACATTGCGAATTCTTCTTCGTTGCAGATGTTGTTTCACTGCATCGCGCTATGGTGCGCGATAAATGGCGGAAGAACGGCGCGAAGCGCAGTCAGTAAGTATGTTTTTCTTTCATGTAATTAGCTCATTATATCCAGATAGACAAGCGTAGATAAATTTAGCAGTGACTCTATACTAGTCGATATGTGTGAAAATAAAATTGCATCTTAGGAATATACTCTCTTAGGAGTATTTTAGGAGTATACTCTCTAACTGGCCCATAAAAATGACACTTATATTTCGTCACGTAAGACGAAATAGAAATACGAAAAAAGTTATTTAAATTTGCTACAAATAATATGTCATATAATATGCATCTCTGAGAGTAACTTTTAATTACTTTTAGAGTTTGTTGCTGCATTAATAAATATAACAAAAAAATTTAATAAATCACTGTATAATGACGTAAATTTAATAAGTAAAAATTTAATACTGTACATTCAACCCATAAATGTAATTAAGATATTGTAAAGGTTTCAACGTGATACTTAAAAAAGCGCCGGTAAATTTTTTTCTTTTTTTTTAAATAATTCCTCTCAGGCGTTTAGGATTGTTGCATTTATATCGACTCTCGACGTGTATTCGTAAATATTATATTACTGCCAGCCGGGTGCTATAAAATACAGACGGAAAAACAAATGATAAACGAGCGACAGCTCGTAATTCGAAATTGCTATTTAATAAATCGACTTCGCGAAGGGAAATCGAAGCATTCTGGGACTTTCGCGTTTAAAAGAGTTTATTTATTTAAATAAAAAAAGATGCTTAAAATTATACAAAAAATTAACGTAACATTTAAAGTTTCATATGATTTGTTTGCAAGGTAAGAAATTCAATATCGCAATTAACTTCGTGGATTGTAGACCAGAAAATTGCTGTTTTATACTTCAAATAGCATTATACTGAGTAAAACGTAGCAAGATAGTACCATAAAATTGATTTTAAATTAGCATTTATTATTTAGATAGTAAAGTAAATATATAAAAACGTAATTTTGTTCGATAAGTAATGAATTTATGAGTAACTTCCTCGACGCGCTATTGAAAATATATCCTTCGAGAGCTCTGGAAGTGCATATCTGATGAATAAACTCCTTAATCATCATAAATGACGAGATTCTTTGCTCATTCCTTTTTAACGAAGGTCCCGAAATCCTGGCGAACTTCGCCAAGAACGTGGCCTCGGTGATCTCGCCGGCCATATTGGGCGACGTGCAACAACGCAGCAACCGATCGTCCTTCCGACCGATCCTGACTATACCTATCCGCCTCGACGGCGGACCGGACTCAGAATCGACCTTGGACAACGTGGTCGACAAGAGGAACAACGCGGCCAACTACTACGAGCCACGCTCGAATCCTTACCCTTACGACGGGCTTTACGCGGACTCTCCGACGGGAGTCGAAGAGACACGAGCGAGCGGAGGACTCGAGCAGCCGGAGGAGGAAGCCTACCTGCGCCAAGAACGACCGAACTTCTACAATCAGCCCTACTTCTCGCCGAACGACAACCTCAGGGCGACTGAGAAAGCCGCCGTCGTCGACGGCGTGGAGTCGTCGGTCGGCAGTATCGAGCAGTCGTCGACCAATCAGTACTCCGCCTACGCCGGCGCTTTTCCCAAAGGTGGCTTTGGGCCCTACCTGGGAGGGAAACCCTACGGAGGCTTCCACGGGCCCTACGGGTCCTACGGACACTTCCACCCCTACGATGACCATCCCGACGACGGGGGGAGTACGGAGGAGAATGCGCGAGTCGAAAACAACGGCACGCACCATCGCGGTTATGGGCCACCTTATTTCGACCCTCACGGCTATAATCATGGACCCTACGGCTCGCCGTTTCCCTACGGCGGCTACGGCCCTTATGGGCCCAATCACAGGAACGGCAACGACACCAACGGGAACAGACCGTACGGACCTCATCACGGCGGGCCCGACTTCTATGGACCTCCCGGTTACGGCTACGGGCATCACGGTAACGGCTACAACGGCAACGGCAACGGCAACGGCAACGGCAATAACAGACAGACGGAGGAACCGGCCGACAACGGCGATCAAAATAACGGGACAAAAAACGGCTACCCGCACCCTTACGGCCCCCCTTTGAAGCCTTTTTTCCACCACCACGGCTTCCCACCCCCGTTCAACATCCTCCCCTACGACCATTTCCATTTCAAGGGTGGTCCTGTGGCCGGGGTTGGCCACGTTGGCTATCCTATCTTTGCCGATCCCTATCTGACTGGCTTTCCATTCCACTTCCCTTACGGACCTTTCATTCACGGTAAGAAATACCTACCGCCGAAGGATAAGCCAGACTCGGGTGAGTCGGGCGATCAACCCACGGCCAACGAGAATCCCGATCGGATAACCGAGGTCAATCAAGAAGAGGTAGCGCCTGCTGCTACCTCGAATCGTTATAAGACGACGGAGCAGAACGGCCTCAAGCGGTTCGGCCTGATCAACTTCCAGAGCCGAAAAGAATAAAAATATCAACTACGCGTTTTGAGACAGCGGACCAAGACGAAATTAAAGTATAAGTGTAAATGTAATGTTGAATACGAAGAAATTATGATACGGTTTGAAAATTCTGAATCGTTGCCGTTCTGAGTGAATTCTTGATAAGTATCTCGTTTGTAAGACGGAAAGTTATCCTTAGAAAGAGGGGGGCGCGAGTATCTTTCATACTGAATTATTCATATTGAATCATTATTCATACTGAAAGTCTTAATCTTAGAAAAATGGCGTTAACGTAATGCAAGTAATGAAAATGCAAGTAAAAAGAACAATAGCATCCATTTTAGTAAAATAATTTTAGTAAAATAACATCAGAGAGGGAGCTTGAGGCTTTCAGTGTGAGCAAAATCATTCGCGCTACTTTTTGTGAAATCAAATAACGAATCTAGGAATGTGTCTAAATGTAATTTTAACTTTAAGCGGAACCAATTCGAGTTTAGCTGAGAATGAAAGAGACACGTGATAAGTCGATGAATATGCTATTTGTAAGACAGAATATCACTGTAAGTAGAGTCACTTCCAGCTAGCGAAACGGCACGATTTAAATGCTGAATGTTAGCGATTATGTATTCCGTTGAAAGATACAATAAAGTTGGTAATATTCACTGGGAAGGTTATGAACTTCATCCACAGCAGGTGCAGCCCGCGTCACGAAGAGCGTTCGACAACTGCGTAAAGGCCGGATTAAAGCCTCGCCAACTTTACGACACGCGATCCTCGACATTCCCGACGGAATGACCGTTCATGTTGTTGTTCGTTAACCTTCGTCCCGAGTTTGCAGCGCGATATCGGTTTTGTACAAAATATAAGTTGATAATTAACGATAACGTACACGCTGATTAAGAGCCGCGTAACACGCACGTTAAAACTCGCCATCAGTTTTCATTACGAGGCTCCCACTATTATGATACAGAAGGGAACGTTCTCATGATTATTGCCCGACCTTTATCCACGCGATTATTCGTTGTCCGAACAATGCACAGGGCTTTGCATGGTCCAGTAATTTTCGCGGCCTCCGTACGTGATTTCGCGTACGCGCAACGTCTAACTGACGATACGAGACACAATTATGCAAGACATGCGAGAGTTAGAGACACTTCATTTTCACGTAATTACTCGCATCCGTTTGCTCGCGCCCAAAGAGAACTGTTAATCCTCCATTTTCCTCGTTCTGCTGACAAATATTAGCGCTTTCGTATGAACGAAATGCCGCGCCTGTTATTAATTAAATTTTTAAGTGAGAATCTAATTATTACTGCATTAATGCAGCTTTATAAAACGAGTATATGTATTGAAGCATTGATTTATTATCGATCTATCAGAGTAAAACTTAAATTTGGTAACAGCACGAGTCCCATTAATCTCACGTATTTCCTGTCGCTATGAGCGCGCGCTAACATTTCCAGAGTCTATATAAAAAAAAATAGTTACATTAACAAAATTTTAAAAAACGGCCATACAAATATAATCTAAAAGATAGCAAATAAAAAGCCAGAAAGTTTTAAAGACAGCTGTAAAACTACTTTTATACAACTAGAAAATAAAATTTCAACTAAATGTTCGCTTCATACAAAAGCAATGGCAAGTTAATATCTATTAGTAAAAGTTATACTAACGAAATTAAGAAAGCATACAAATATCATTTAAAAGGAAAATTTCAAAAACAATTATTATATATAAGCCACCTTTATGTAATTAGAAAATAAGATTTCAAGTAAACGTTTACTTCACATGAAGGCAATGGAGGATTAACGAATCTTTAACACTCTGTAAAATCTCTTTTACTTTATACATTTTGTATTGTATATATTGTTTTCGCGCGCGCGCACGTTGAAAAGTCAACGCGAAGAGTTCTCGAAGAACGTTCTCGTTTTCCTTCAAGTTTTTCTCATCGACCATAAAATAATTATTGTGACGCGCATTTTCAAGGTAAGTGCGTAATCGATTTACGTAAGATGCAGGAAGTCCTTCGCTAGTCTGAATATCGATCGCAGAATTCGATCCCATTCGCCAGGAGCAGATCGGCGAAATACGCGGACAATCGAGCGTGAAGGTAAACGTAAGAAAGGGAATCACGTTCCCATAAAAAAGCGAAGACAATCGCGCAATGTTCATATGGGTGGTGTCCTGATCGATCGGGACAGCATACCGCTGTTAATTGCGATATCGCATACTTTGTGAGTACGAAGCGCCGAGGAAGCAAAAGAACGAGTGCATATTATCAACCGAAGTAATCAGAAGAAGTGACCTAGATAAGCTTTCATGGTTATCACGACGTGAGACAATTAATGGGAACTTGACAATCATGATGGAAATTTGATAGATCTTTTAATTACATTTATGTAATTGAATTAATCATGAATTGTGTTGAATTAATCATGAAATTTAGATCGTATGATAATGTAAATTTTTGGTTGATTTGCTACGCAACATTTACTGAACGTTACACTTAGATTTACATGTTACATTCAACACGACGTATTGTTTTGAGCAAATTTTGATAATTTTTTTCCTGTTTCTTTCGTATTCTTCTACTTCATCGCTCTATGTAATAAATATGAAAGATATTTGAATCACTTATAAAAAATGAAACTTTTACAACTCGATAAGTAAAGTTGCTAACAAATTTATGTACACATATCTCTGTGTGTGTCTGGATAATATATTTACTTATATACTAATACACATTTTTACAAGGAGAAAAATTGTTTTTAAATAAAAAATGCGTATTCTGAAAACTGTACCTTTTAATGAAAAAGTGATTTAAATAAGAGGATTTAAATTTAAGTAAATATGTTACTAATAAAATAAATAATTTTTATTTTTAGATACTTTTTCCTCTCAATATATGAACTCCTTGCATTATTACTCGAAGATTATGTGAAAGCCCTATATTTTCCTATATTCTCTCTAAGAAATATTAATAGAATTAATTAAAACAATTACCTATTTCATTAATCCTAAACATATGTAAAATTTGCCCAAACTAACTTTTAAACCTTACTATTTGTAAAAACATATTTCGGTTTTTATTATAACTTCTTTCATCTTTATTAAATCGCAATAATAAAATCATATTCTTCAACGATTTCTACCTTAAATAAAAAAAACATTAAATTTTGATAATTCCTCCAGGAGTTATGAACAACAAAACACAATGCTCTCGATAAAATTCAAAGTTCACGTAATTTTTTAATGTTTAAGTTAAAGTAACAAATTCGTCTGAAACGAAACGAAGATTCTTTTCAATCTTAATTAATCGATCCTGCATTACTCGACGGATTAGCAAATTTAGCTTCGCGCATATCCAGGACGTGTCTCGCAGCAGACATCGTATTAACATAATTCGGCCCTATCTTCTAATTATCCCGCGCCCCTTATTTTCGAAAAAGAGTATTCAAACTGACATTGGTCATTTCGGTTTTCCAGTATCCGCACAAAATTAAATAACGCGGAATTGATGACTCCCCGACTGGACTTCCTTCAACTCTCGGCTCATCCTCCTTCCCTCTCGCGGACTCCCGCAGTTCTAACGAAATACATCGCATAGGAATACGTCGCGGAATTGGGCAACCGGTTACGCATATTATATCAGCATAGAGGAGTGCAATGTATCGGCATAATTTCGCCAACGAAACATTTTGTAAGAAAATCCCGCTTTACGTAAGCGTCGCGTCGCATCGTCTGTCACCTCTTTCTGTCTCGATTACGATGCTCGCAGAGGAGCGTTTCCACGTGCTCGGCGGCCGGGATTCACCGGCGGGCCCGGGCATTATTGCCGGTGATAAGCGATTAGCGGCCGCGGCGGTCATTAAGTATCGTAATCCGCCGTGTGTGTTGCGACGTATACGATTCTCTCCCCCGGCCGCGTAATGAGGGGGCTCGCGGACACACGCGAGCAATCGCGTGGAGGAAGAAATTTTCGGATGTCAAGGCGTCCACCGCGCGCCACGAGAACTCACGTGAGTCCGGCCGCACGTGTGCACACGTTTCGCCGCGCGTCGCGTCGTGTCTCTCTTTCATAACGCGACAGTCGCAACTCAGTCGTGTGTAATCTCAGGGTAACAATGAAGTTTCCTATTAGCACAGACGCGGAGGCCAATGCGGGGTCCGGAAAAGCGCAACTCACGTGGGGGGTCCACTGCGCGCGCGTCGTCGCGGGACCCCGCCTTCGTTATAAAAGAAGCCGTGTAACAGGCAAACGATAGACAGTGTTATTCGGTAACGACAGATGGGAAAAAATTGGCGCGACTGAGAATCAGCGAGAGACGTCAGCTCGACCGCGCATTTGCAACCACGAGAGAATGGCGTGCCTTAAGATCGTAAGTGCATCGAGTGCGAAAAACCGTGAAAAGCCGCGTGACTCGAACTCCTTCGCGAACTGATTTCAGGCCAATTTCTTTGCGACATATCTTGTCAATTTTCTCGTCATGTTTTCCTCAACCTTCTCAGAAATACCATGTGTGTGTATACTTTATATGGTTTTCATATGATTTGAAAACTTTCTTTTCGATGCAGCTTGGAATGCAGTCAATAGCCCAATGAGAGAACTTGTTCCCGATTGAAGTTCCCAGAAGTTATTTAGATAGATAGGTGTATATTTGACAGATATATATTTGATAGGTGTGAATTTGACAACGATTTTAGCAATGATTGCATGTCTTATAAATAGTACATATGGCACTCATATTTATCACGCAGATCGACAAAAATAAATACAAAAAGAGATATAAAAAAATTATCAAAATTTATTCAAGATAATACATCGCTTAAAATTTTGCATAAGAATCTAAATTTTATTTTTAGTAAATTGTTTTCGCATTAATATAACAACAAAATTTACATAATTGTACGATATAGATTTTATGATCAACTCAAGACAGTAAAGAAGATTAGGGGTAGATATCCCATATTTCAGAAGGTTACAACATGTCAGACAAATAATTATTGTACTTGACTATACAAACGTGATAGAGGCAATCTTTTTTTATGTGTTAATGCTTGCTACGATTTTGTTAATATATATATTTTTTATATTTTATACACGCCATATATTTGCTTCTTAAAATTAATTAAAAGGATTACCAAGTTTTCACCATCCATTGTCTCATGTCGTGAGATTCATGAAAGTCAATTTAGGCAGGTTCTCTTGATGGACCATCGGATTGCGTTCCAAACTGTATCAAAAAAAGTGTGTTTAACTTGAACTTGAATATACGTTTGAATACGTTTGTTTTATCTTTTTTCAATGCAAAAATTGCCAACAAATATATAAAAAAATAATAAAGGTGAATAAACATTTACCACAAAATTCGACAAGAGAGAAGGAAGTATCACACAATTGACAGATGTCATATTTATATCATTTTAAAATCAAACCATTCTCTACGAATTTTAATAAATTCACCCCTAAAGAGATTCAACTTAAAAATAAAATTTATGTGTGCATAAGTTTCTTAAAATTTCTTTAATATTTTCTTAAAAATTTAAATTTCCTAGTGACGTGTGTGATCTAAATTTCAGATTGCAGTTACCTTGAGCGCGAAATGTCGGCATCGCGCGATAGTGATACTGTGCGAATCATTTCTGCACGATTTCAGGATTGAAAGCGAAGTCTAGAGATTCAGTCGAAAGGATAATCTTATTCGCGTCGCAAAGGATTAATCGGGATAAACACGTTATATTAAGATATACAAAGATATTTCTCTGGACTGTCGTTGATCACAGCCTTCTCGCTTTTACAGTATATCGTTCTGATTTTGGCTGTTGCAATCGGTATGGCAGCTGCGAAACCAGGATACCTGGGCGGATACGGATACGGCTTATATCCGTATTACGGTTATGGCCACGGCTATGGCCACGGATTCCATGGATACGGACACGGATTCGGCCATGGCTACGGTCATGGCTATGGATATGGTAGGATTTATGGTAAAATCGACACAATCTACAATATTACTCTCGCAACATCGCAGTGTCATAGCAGAATCGTCATTTCCTCATCGATTCGTATGTCTCCTCTTTAACATCGTGTCACTGTGAATTTATTGGTACTAATTGTGTTTTATATCTCTTATCGCGACTACTTTACGTGCTCAATTAATAACAAAATTGAATAACTCCGATTTAATTTCAGATAATTTTATATCGCGAGAAAATCAGAGTTACGTAAAGAAGATACTTGACTTGTTAGGTTGATACCGTGAAATTAAATAATTATGATTTAATTGCAAATAATTCTATCTCAAAACAATTTGTCAATTATCGCAACAAGATACGCGACTTATTCATAGATTGATAACGCAAAATTGAGTATCTCCGATTTAACTTCAGGGAATTTTATGTATAAAATTAGTTAAATATTTAAAAAATAAAATTATGACATATTTTTTAATTTATCATAAAGTGTTAAAGTTATGGCGAGTTAATTTTTGTAAAAAGAAGAACGCAGTTTGTTCATAGCTCGCATAGAAATTCCTCAAGGTTTTTTCACATACAGCGTATTCGATTAAAATGCTAAAATTTGTCTCAAACTTATTTCATTACGATACCAATTGGGAATCCAATCCTTGTCTCAAACATGAGTTCTCTAGCTAGAATCGATATTGTTAATACACTTTTATGGACATCAAACAGGAGATTCCATTTTTACATTATTTACACAAGTATTATATTCAATAGAATATAATAAATTAAAAAATATAATATTTTTAAAATACTTCAAATATTTTATTGAATAATGAAATTATTTAGGGAGTCACCATCTTGTATTCAATTCTAAAGTAAAATAAAGACCAGAGATACTATTGAGGAAACTTTGACTTCCCCTACTTAGAATCGCATGTTTAAGACATCACATTCCTAAGCAGAACTCACAATTATTTTGGGAAATCGGACCCGAGTTAAATCCTAAAAAATTTTCTACGCGGAAGATTGTCGAAAGCGGACCCAAGTTTGTTTGTCTTTGACACAACAGCCTTGTTTTCGGGTTTTATATACATCCGTCATAATTAACTCGTTATAATTTCTACGATAAACTAAAAAAATATGCCTTAACTCTATTTTTTAAATTTAACTAATTTTATACATAAAATTCTCTGAAGTTAAATCGGAGCTACTCAATTTTGCGTTATCAATCTATGAATATTCACGAATCTTATTGCGTCAGTTACAAGACAAATCTTTTTATATGTCCACGCGACAGATTTTTTTATTGCACAACTGTACAACACGCAAACTCTATACAGAACAGCTCGTGTGTACGTGCTGCGTGCGAGCTCGCCTTCGTGACAATGAAATCGTTCACGTTCGCACACATGCATACGCACGCTCATTACCCCGAGGGTAAAAATCGTTAGCGCGAAAATATTGACGTATTATTCTTTCATTCCTGCTTAGGATATCCATTTTATGGCGGCTACGGCGGCTACGGCGGCTACGGCGGTTACGGCGGCTACGGCGGCTACGGCCATCACGGCTATTATGGCTAAGGTGGACGCGGAGCAACAACCTTCCTCTGGATTTCCTGGACCGCCATCTTAAGAAGAGTGAGCCCAGAGTTATTCGAACATAACTTACGTCGCTTTCTCCCTACTATGTATTTTTATTGCTAACATTGGACTGCCGAACTATCCGTCAGGCGAGTCAACGATTGATCCTCCGAGGACCCTTCCATACATGTGACGTTCGCATCGGACGGAGCGCGCGTGAAACGTACTTACTTAATCGACACGAAACTCTCGGAAAAGATACGATTACGCAAAAAGGAAATAAAAAAAAAAACAATTATAGAAGATTACGATCCGTTACGATGTTCGTATGTCTCATAAGTATATGTCGAGTATAAATATGCCAAGAAAAATAAATTATGCATCTCAGCGAAAATTGAATCTCAGTGATGATATCTTTTATAACGTTCAATGTAGTAGTATAACATTTATTTCTTGTCTTTCGGCTTTGAAAGGGGTATTACATCAATCTTACATTTTCTTTCTCCAGTACCATCTCGCCTTCCGACTTCCTAACTTAATTATTAACCGTGCCTGCCCCCTGCGAACTTAGTAACTTACATAATACAATAATAACTAACAATATGCCACAAGCTTACAGTTTATGCTTTGTTGCTTTAACTATTTGGTCTCTATCAATAAGCCTAATCTTTGAGACATTCTTGTTTGTTCTCTTTCCTCATTTTTAAGATTTTCTTCATCCAACTACTTCCCTCCCCCTTCTCACCTAATAACTGTGATATCTCTGTGCCGCATAACGTTCAATGATGATAGTGGTGGTTTCGATAATTGTTATCATTTCAGTATGGCCGGTACAAAAGCTCAATGGAAGATGTGTTGTCCCGTAAAGGAATGTGCTAGAGTCAGAAAAGTGGCTCTATTTCCTGAAGTTGCAGGGTTTGAATTCGAATACACCGGGAAAGAACTTCAAAACTTCGAAATGTTGGAGTTGTCTCGTTATACGGGATGTTCGGCAACTCACAGAGGAACTCAAATTTTGAGTTACTAATCCATGAAGATTTGTGAATGATCACGCACTATAGATGAGCTGTGATGACGACATTACCGCTGTATGCTTGTATATTAAATGAAACTGAACAAAAAGGTCTTCTGACATTTTCCAAATGACCACGTGAATGTTTAGTTATCAATTAAAAAAGATTGATGCATTATCGCGCACAACTGTACACTGAACTTCTTTAATTAATAATTAAATATGTACGTGTTCATTTGGAAAATGATAGAAGAATTTTTTATTCAGTTTGATCTAATCTACCTGTACCCGTGGTTCCTCCGTGAGTTACCCAACATCCTATATAGACGGGTGCATTAATATCTACTCATTTGAGCGCAACAAAAGTGTTGACTTTTCGGGAAATTGTCTTGATTTCCGCGTACCAAACTTTTAATTTTCCGGAAATATGACAATGAATGTCCACCAAAAAGGCAAATGAATAGCGACAGTTGAGCGCGACTCGATAGTCGCGAGGATTCAGTTGAACGATCTGTTTTCTCGCTTTCTCGAAGCCGCGGAACATAATGGTGCCTTCGTCAATCGGGAAGAGCACGGCCGATGTTCAGTCATTCTTCTGCGCAGAGGCGATTATGTAAAGTAACAGGTGCGACTGTCGCGATCATGTAGAGTGTAGTTTCGAGTGCACTGCAGGCGGTTTAGGGACGAGGGAGAAGGAGAGAAAACGCGCGTCCGCCTACGCGTCGCGTTATTGAATTTGCGAGTTCTCCTAACATCGCGCGCGTCACAGAGTCTTTTGTCCGTTAATGACAGACCGCACGGATCATACCCGTCTTCTTTTCGTTCCTCCACTTGTTCTTACATCAACTGGCGGTTACGACAACCGAGGTCTGACCCTGTAACGCCGAATGCTTCGTCATGCGAGTAGCTGCCGTAAGCGTGTTTCGGTATCCTCGGCATTTTGTAGGAAACGCGAAACCGCGTTGAATGATACTCGCGTTCCGCGTTCGACTGTGCTTTCACGCGAACTACGCACGCCGCGAAATATTCTTAAATCTCTCTCAGATAAGATTTAAGGGTGCTAGATGTCCCATATCTCAGAATTTATAACTCCTCAACTATTTGTTGTAACTAACTGTACAAACACAATAGAGGCAATCTTCCTCTATGTGCTAATTTCCCCCACGATCCTGTTAATCGTACATTTTGTCTTAACATTTTGTCGTACATTTTATCGTACATTTTGTCTTGTAACAATCAAAATACAAATATGCAGCAATGTGGCCCTGATACCAGGTTCAGTTTCTCAGTAGTGCAAAGAAAAAAAATCACATATAATATATGTATATGTCCTGGTTGGTAGTTGCGGAATCTCCACAGTCTTCCTGCTCTTAATTGTGAGCCAACTTCATCTTATCCGTCCATATGTTCGATTGCAAACATCTTATGAATGAAAATTGCTTTTATTGAAAGTATATTATACTTGTAAGAAACTTTATTTTAGCTAGTAGAATATGTCGCTTAATTTTATTCATTCACGTTGGAAAATATTAATACAAAATTTCGAGAGGCTTGAAAATTTGCTATTAATAAATCAGTTTCTTCTATTCTTTAACTGTAATATTATTCTAATTTTAATGGAACTCAGGGAAAATTATCTGTGTTCTAAAAAGAGTACTTCTAGCGTGATTGTGTTAATGACGACTGTTTCTGCATTCGACATTGTTCGAGTTCGTCATCAATTTCAGTATCCCCTCAACAGTTCTCAATGATTCGTTGCTTTCGATAGTTGACGCGTATACTTTAGCTATTTTTAACTCTGCTAATTAGTCGTCGTAATCTAAAATGCAAGGTTGTCAACGTACTATCGCGGTGCGGAAACATAAGAGAACTTGACTCGATTAGAATCAAGTTAGATAAATGATTGTTCTCACTCATTTGCGTCTCACAGCGAGCCGCGGGAATCGTCTTTGGTACACGCGACCCACATTCGCGGACTTTCCAGCCAAAGAGAACGGTAGGCCGTGTACTTTTCGGAGCTGTTACGAACGACGACGTCGCTGCGTGTATTAAGTGTCCCGCGCAAGGTGTTTGGAACATCGTAAAAAGATAGTTCAAGGAAAACCTGCACAATTACAACAACGCCGAAATTGTGTATCATAAATTGAATCATAAGTTGTGACTACGCAACGTTACTCGCGACGTTACACTGATAGAAATTATTCTATAAGAAATTAACAAATGGATATTTCCGATCAAAATACCGATGAATTTTGGTACCCGATCAGGAAATATCTGATGAGAAATATCGATTCATAATTTTTTCCTCGGTTTATCTGATGAAATGTCATTGTAATCGGAAGTATTCGATTAAATTTCACCAGATATCCTGATTAAATATAAAAATTCATTGGTATTTTGACCGGAAATATCCGTTTGTTAATTTTTTATTGGATAATTTCTCTCAGTGTACTCTCAGTGAGATGATTATTCAGTCAGATAATTACTCTCAGTATAGTTACTTTGCGAAATCCCGAGGACGGAATTTACAGTTTTCGGGGAGATATTGCGCTTACAGAGAAACAATAACGTTTCTTAATAGCGAAGTACATTTAATCATGTCTCTTGCACGATTTATAAAAAATTTTATAGAGAAATGCAAATAAGGATTACTCCAAACAAGGCTAATTTTTGTCAGACATGTAGCTTTATTGTTTATTATTAGTTAAGTCATAAGTCGCGACTGGACGTGATTTCTCTCATTATTCTTTACATGAGTTCGGATTTTCCGAATTTCAGGGAGATATCGTAAAAAATATTATTTTTTACGATTCTTTGTATTAATCTAATTAACTAAGAATAAATTCGATTTCGTTTTTCGTGGAGATTATGGCAAATTTTACAGATAAATACAGATAGAGATTATTAATTAAATTTTATTTTAATTCCAGATAAAGATTACTAATTAAAATTGCAAATAAAGATCATAAACTAAAATTTCTTTTGATCAAACATGTCATTTATTGTTTATTTTTTACCGATAAATTGGTTCCTAATAGCAGTGGGCATCTCATCGGAATAAGTAATTGAAATTCAGCAAATGAGGCGTTCGCAGATTCGTGAGGCGACCTTGATGGGATAACATATGGAGATATGAAGATAAGTAAAAGTGAAACATCTCTGATACACGGCGCGTCTTGTTTATTATGACGGTTAATGCGTTGGCTGCCTTAAGCAGCTCCGGCGCCCTCGTGACATTTAAATGGCGAAAATTTTGTCAGGAGGCCACCGGTGCATCGCCGCCGTCGCTTTGTCTTTCGCGTGATCCTCGCGATTATCGGCGAGCAAAACGGATAAGCATTTTTTGCGCCAGTTCGTGTAATCAGAGAAAAAATGCTTATCAGAAATATCGGAATATGTAACGCGTGCAAGAGAGACCGCGATTAATAACGGGAAGTCGTTCCCCGCTGTTAATAGCTGGAAATTGCCCAGAAATTCCGACGGCGAAATGAACAATCGTCGAGCGCAATTAACAAACGAGAAAAAACATAGCCGCTACACTTCCGCTCAATTTATCTCGCGTGTTTGCCCAAGAATGTACCGATTGATTCCGCTGCATCACAGGCGAGAAATTGCAACTACAGCCTTGGTCAAGAGTGCGAGGCTCCTTCGATGAGTCGAAGTAAATCAAACTATTCAGTAAGCAAAGAACATTAAATCAATATGTTAAATTTAATATTTAATGTTAATTTTACGCGTATATCTTGAATATTAATTCTACACGTTTGAGCATTTCTGTTTAATATTTCAAAAGCATTTCAAGGATATTACAAGATCTCTTTAAATATTGCAAAAATGTTTTAAAACTATTAAAGTGTCGAAGTTATTCGTAATAATGTTGATGCAACGTTAAAAACTATTTATATATTAGAAAACGTTATATATTACTAAATATCATTGAAATAACGTTCTGTTAATAATTTTTTGCTTACGGGATAGTTATCATTCCCTCGAATTAGAAAACATAACTAATTTTCAGATCAATCTACGCCTATTAGGGTAATAAAATATCTTCATAGTTTTAAATACTTTTTTCCAACTTTATTTCTCTGGTTTATTAAAATTTCAGGAGACATAATAAATTCTCAAATCAATTTGCGCATCAAAGTACTAATAAAAATGATTTTTATATTTTAAAATATATTCTTTTTAATTTATTACGTTTTGTAATACTTTCTTTTAAACTAATTTATTAAATTATTTAATAAATTACCTTTAATTAATTAATAATAATTAATTTCATAACTAAATATCATATTAATAAATATTTAATAATTTAATAAATAATTAATTCCAACAATATATTAAAAATGTATTATTCTATTAAATAAAATAACACATGAAAAAT